GGGCAAGGGCCTGGGAATGGTAAAGGGCAAGGGCAAGGATAGGGGGCAAGGACTGGGACCAAGGAGAGGGTTTGTAGAGGGCAAGAACTAGAATGGCAAGAGCAGGAACTGTACTTGCAAGAATGTATCAGTTGGCTTGGGCCCTAAACCCCACTACAATGCCCTTCATTACAGCCTTTATCACGCCTTAGCTCACGACCTGCGTGTGAATCTCCATCTCCCCCCCATCCCTGTCTCACGGCCTCACCTCCACTCTCTTCGATCCCTGATCATCTTCCCAACCCCCCCCTTCCAATGTTATCCCACTCCCCTCACTCCACTACTCTCACTCCACTATTGCTAACCACTTCAGGCTGGTGCCATCCCAGGGGCAAATGAGCCGCCCGCGCCGCCCAACAGCGTGCTCTTTGTGCAGAACCTGCCGGTGGAAACCACCCCGGCCATGCTGCAGATGCTGTTCCAGCAGTTTGCTGGGTTCAGAGAGGTGCGGATGGTGGATGCCAAGCCGGGAATCGCCTTTGTGGAGTTTATAGACGAAGTGCAAGCCAGTGTAGCCCTGCGGGGGTTGCAGGGGTTCAAGATCACACCCACACACCCCATGCTGGTCTCATACGCCAAGAAATAGCGTACGACTGTTTTTTTTGGACGGAGGAAAGGAGGGGGATGTTTAGGAAGAAATTCGATTTCTGGAGTGTCGAAATTCGGTTGTACGGTATATCTAGGTTGTTATTCTGGAGTGTTTTTTTTTAGAGAGAGCGGTGTTGTCATTCTGGGATTGATTTAACTGTTAGTGCATTGCTCTATGTTAACCTCATCTGCAAGTGCCAGCCAGTGATTGTATCTTTTGGTTATTATAATTGCAGTCACATTATTAGCCTCGATTAGTAAGTGTCCCCGCTTTCGCCACTGCGCATTCCCGCACAACGATCGAGTTCGCTAGACTCAGACGTACGAATTGCGCAATTAGTTCGGAACATCGGGCATCCGGGCGAGCGAATCCATTTCAGGTCAGGACTCAGGAGATTTGTTCGCGTCACGTGATTCGTTGACTCTATTGGCTACCACCCCCTTCTGGTGGGCCCTCATTACGAGTAGTTAGTAACCCAGAGGAGCACTCATCCTCGTGACGTAGAATCTCTGTCAAGGGTCGGGCTCGATAGTGAGTTAAAGCCTGTCGTTTAGGTATTTTAGGATCCGATGCACGGGAGAACGTCGCGGGAGGAGAGGCGCGCGCGTCTTGGCTAATTAGGTGCCGCATGCGCTGAGCATGGCTTTATTGCACGCTGAGTACTAGGAAAAACTAGCGTTTGTTGCGAACCTGGTATTGATAACGAGTATACCGAATACCGCGTCGGATTCTTGCGAGGACAGATTCTGGGCTGGAAACCGCTCCACATCCGAAGTGTGGTGCCGAACCTGACCAGTTTACCACTTTCGCCTAGCCTGCGGGGTGACAGTAACGGGGAATGTCGTCGACGTTGTGCTTCGTTATAGTGGGTCGCAACGACTGCCCGCTTTACGATGCCGAGCTTGGCACAGCTCCTCGGGTACTGTACCTTTGCGATTTCCTCCTTACCCCCCTCCTCCTCCTCCTCCTCCTCCTCCTCCTCCTCCTCCTCCTCCTCCTCCTCCTCCTCCTCCTCCTCCTCCTCCTCCTCCTCCTCCTCCTCCTCCTCCTCCTCCTCCTCCTCTCCCCCCATCCTTCAATATTTTCTCCGACTCCCCATGATCGCTGCTCACGCCTGTTCACTCCCCATCCGCGTTATAATGCCACTCGTGATCCAACATTCGTTTTCCCGCTCATCCTTTCCCTACTCTCATAACCCTGCATCCCCCGCGCTCGTCGCTTCCCTCCCCTCCCTTTTTCCCACCTCCCCCATCTCTCCCCTCTTTCTCCCAACCTTCCCCGAACTTCCCCCTCACTTCCCCTCTGGCACCCGCTTCCCCCGCTTCCCCCTCTTCCCCACCTTCCCCTGCGTCTCCCCTCCGCTCGCCTTCCCCCCGCCCCCCCCCTATCAGCGCGACGAGGCGGCGCATCTGCACCAATTCATTTTGCACGGTGCCATGGATATCGTGCAGGACGCCGTGTGGGCCACCAACAACATGTGCGTGCGCTGGGGGGGGAGGGGGGGGGGCATGCGGGGGGGAAGGGGGGGTTGGGGTGGGGTGGAGATGGGGGGCAGTTGGTGGAGGGAGATGATGGGGGTTGTGGGGGGGGAGATGAGGAGGAGGGGAAAATGTGGGGCACGCTACTAGAGAGAGTGAGGAAGCGGAAACACGAAGAGAGCGACCAGATAATGAATGAACAGAGCAAAGATATTGGAGTGTGAGACCCCCATCTCCCAGGACAGTGGAGCTTCGGAACGTAACAAATATTGAATAACGCTACCGCAGTGACAGAAACCCCCATATCCCCCTCCATCTCCTCCCATCCTCCCCCCCATCCCCACCTCCCATTTTCCCCCCTCGTCCCTCCCCCCCTCCTCCCGTGCCCCCCATTCCCTCCCCTTCCCGTGCCCCCCATTCCTTCCCCTCTCCTCCCGTGCCCCTCATGCCTTCCGCCATACCCCCTTGCTTGAGCCACCGGCAGGCATCTCAAGGCCGTGGACAAGTTCAACGATCTGCTCGTCTCAACTCTACTCAAAACCACGCCGCTTCCCCCTTTCCCCCTTCCGCCATATCCCCTTCTGTGTGGCACCACGCACCGCCAGGCATCTCAAGGCCGTGGACAAGTTCAACGATCTGCTCGTCTCTGTCTACGTCACCGCTGGTCATATCCTCTCACGCCGCCTCCCCACGCGCCCACTCCTCCACATGCTCCCTTGACACGCCCAAACACGCACATGCCCACGCACGCACACAAAGGCATGCACGCACACGCGCATGCCCTCTCTTCGCTTCCTTTCTCCCTGCCTTCCATCCTTTATCCCTTTCTCTTGCTGCCCTCTGCATTCCAGTTCGTGCCTTTTCAGCGAACGGATTGAAAATTTCCAGCATACATTGTACCTGTTCCCTAGTTCATCTTGCTTCCACTGTTGCTGTCTTGTCATCCCACGGCACTCACCTTCCATCAGACTTCACACGTCCCACACATCTCATCTCATAACCATTGACCTGCTGTTGAGATTCTTTCCTGTTGGAGCTCCTTTACCCACCTGCCGTTGCAACAGCCGTTGCTCCTCTGCCTTGTTACTCTGGAACTTACCGTGCCAGTAGCCACTAAATTCCGATTCATGCAATCTTCCAGCCTGCTGCTCCGATGTCTCTCTTGGTGGTTTTCCTTAACCGCTTTCTCTCTCCCGTCTCCGTCCCGATTATTGACTTACTTATCTCGACCCGCATCCGTTCACCATCTGCCCGACTGCGTCTATTTCCGCACTTTCAAATCCTTCAAAACCGTACCGTTGCCTCTTATGCGCCCGCGTCCGCGCCGTTTCAACTCTGTTGTTTCGACTGTGATGTTACAACTGCGCCGTTTCAACCGCGCCGTTCCAACCATGCACAGACGAAGCTGCTGCTGCTGCATGACTCACGCAACGAGGACGGCATAAAAAACTTCTTCCAAGAAGTGCACGAGCTGTACATCAAGGTGAGCTGTACATCAAGGTGAGCTCACATTGCACACGTTGATGAACCCACTCCATGTGCCCCCCCCTCCTCCAATCCAAACTGATGGTTTTCTGATCCAAACTGACAGTTTTTTTTCTCTCTCTGTCTCTCTCTGACTCCCATCCTGCTTCCTCCGCTCCTCACCAGGTGCTCATGAACCCACTCCATGTACCAGGCTCCAAAATCATCTCAACAGTTTTCGACGCTCGAGTCAGGGCTTTGGCCAAGAGGCACCTGTGAGGCTGGGATTTGCACGAAGTAGCCCCCTTCAGGGATCGTACGGTAGCAGAGCAGGATACAATTGAAAGGGATCGTACGGTAGCAGGAAGCAGGATACAATTGAAAGGGATCGTACGGTAGCTCGGTTAGGAATGGCCTTACAGCATGGCAACGTGTCACGCATGAGCGTACGAGAGCTTTGGGTATAGACGTACTTATGTCAACAGGATAGGGAGATGTAGGAGCAGTATGAGTTTTGCATACGTCACTCGTCACTTGTTTCTTGTTAGAATTGCCTCTGGCTGGCACCCATACTGCCGGTATACACCCCTGTCTTACTGGTTCTGCCTACACCGTATGTATTTTTCCCATACTGCCGGTATACACCCCTGTCTTACTGGTTTCCCACCCCTGTGGGAAACACTTATGTACTTTTGAATCTATTGTTGATTCATGGATGGAAACACTTTACATTTTATGCGGTACTTACACATGTAGTCTTTGCAGGCCATGTGTGCAGGTCTCTTTCCAGATTGCTTCGCACATGCTACACACGGGCGGGCTCTCTGGTCATTGTGCAGACACTAATGACCGGAATGGTACATCTGGAAGCATTACATGGTATGAAGCCATAAAACAGTATATATGTTTGAAAAAGATGCAAAAACAAATCGCTGTTAATCAAGCACCATGCATGATGCATGCAAGGCGGTACATCCTTATTCGAGAGTGGACATCAGCCTTTGGTAAGAAGGCACCCATGCCCAGCCCCTCAGGGCATGCTGGACAAGACCTGCACTCCTAGAACTTCTTATTCTGATTAATGCGCATAACCTTATTCTATATATCTACTCCGCAAACCTGCCTAAAATGGTGCCGAAAAACACCCCTACAGCAGTCCGAGAAAGCGGATCTGGTGGCCACGTGGCTTCCCCTTCGTACCGTAGTCTCCTCCCCATACACTTGCCCTGCTTCCTCCAGTGGAAGAGGGACATGTGACCTGAGTGGGGACGATTGTCCGGCGACGAATTAGGTCTCGCCCAGTCTTCTCTTCACGCAGTCTAACCCACTCTCTCCGCAACTACCGTAACATACCTCCCCCACTCAGGAGTCCCTCAAGTCTCGTCTCGTCAGCAGCCTCGTACGCTTTGTACTACGGTATGTCCCACGCGTCACAACGACTCCGTTCTCCTCCCGAAAAGCCTTGCAATCTTACTCTTCACACTGCCCCTCTTTCCCCCCTCTGCACCGCTCCCAACCCCTCCCGCCGCCTTCTTCCTCAACCAGCTCTTCAGCCCACCCTTCCGCCCCCCGCCCCGCTTATTCCCCGCCTTCTTCCCCTTCTTCTTCCCCTTCCCCTTCCCTTTCCCCTTCCCTTTCCGCCCGAACCACGGCTGGGGGAAGAACTTTCTGGGCAGTTTCACGCGCAGGAGCGACAGCGCGTGCGCGAGCTCCGAGTCGACCTCAGGGGAGCGCGAGAAGCGGCAGAAGCGGCAGTCCGCTTTAAGGAGGTCCGACACGAGATAGTCCTCCACGCTGCCGTCGATGAAGCCCTCCGCGTTGTCGCCCGGCACGGCATTGGCGCGCAGCAGCGGGTTGTACTTGAGCTCCTGGTTCGCGCTGTAGGCGGGAGGAGGGGAGAGAGGGGAAGGGGGAGGGGGGAACGATGGGGAATGAGACATTGGCGCGCAGCAGCGGATTGTATTTGAGCTCCTGGTTCGCGCTGTAGAGGGAAGGGGGGAAGAGAAGCGGGGGGAAAGGGGTTGGTTGGGAGGGAATGAGGCATTGGCGCGCAGCAGAGGGTTGCACTAAGAGCTCCTGAGTCGGGTCTGTAGGGGAGGAGAGGTGGGAGAAGGGGGACAAGGCGTAACGAAGAGTTTGCGCGCACTGAAGGATTGGGATTGTGCTTCTGCTGGTGGGGGGAAGAGGGAGTAGCGGAAGCACCCCCGGGGTGAGGAGCAAGCCATGAGCCCCAACCTTGCACAGCTACAGGAGGAAATCACACAGGCTAAAAAAACATATCTCCCACATACAGCAGAATAATATCCCAGAGCAGAATAAGTCCCACGCACACCACCTGGCTTGCACCCACGCCCAACCCAACGTACAGTCGTCCGTGGAAGTCGGGGCGGAACGTCTGTCCCAACACGCCGTGCACGGCCGTCGAGAACGTGCAGCCTAGAACGTCGATGCCGAAATGCACCACGCCGTCGTCTCCAGTTCGCAGGTTCTTCACCTCGGGTCGCAGCGTCAGCCGCAGCGTGCCCATATCCGTTATAAGCAGGTCGTACACGTCGACTAGGTCGTCCCCGCTCCGGAGCCGCGCCTCCACCCACCGCAGCGACGCGCCCGGCCAGAGATTGACTCTCGTCCCCGGCGCCGGTACCCTAACCGGCCGGTCGTTGACCGTCACGCGGCCCAGGTAGCCGTTTCCATAGTCGGCGGAGGAGCCGTTTCGGGCGTGAAGCACGGCGGTGTGGTGGCCGAACATGATCCCGAGGGAGCGAATCCACGTCAGCGCCTTGGTGGCGTTGCCCCACGTGCCGAACCGCCCGCCGAAGTAGCCGTTGACCTGCAAGTGCGCGTCGGAGATGAGCGCGAAATGATGGTTGGGGAGGCCTGGTGGAAGCAGTTGGGGGGGGAGAGGGGGAATAAGGGGGAAGCATGAGGGGAGCGCGAGGGGAAATTTGGGTAGAGCAAGGGTACAGAGCAAGGAGAGAGGATGAGAGCGGAATGCGCGAGCACGGTGACGCTGGTTTGTCACAGAGTTCAACTGCAAAAAGAGGCGAAACACGCGGAGGAAAGAGGCGACTCTTGAGCAACTGAAAAAAGACGAGAGGGTGACAGGGGTGTCTTAATAGTAAAAGAACTATTGATTGAACCGCTCTTCTTACCGGAGAAGTCAAAGTGCGACCCGTCAGCGCCCGTGAAGTGCGGGTCGCCCTTCTCGACGGCGAGGCACAGCGCGCCGACGGTGAAGTTGGCCGGCACCTCATAATCGTCCGTCGCCACGTCGCCGCGGCTCGGCTGCATCCAGTCGTCCGTGTAGCTCGTCTCGTCTTTGCACCTGTTCGCGTTATAGCACGCGCAAATTCCTGACGAATCGGCGCCGGGAGGATGAATAAGGCACGAGGAGCGAGAACGATTTTAGGTAAGATGTAGTGCGTGAAAAGAGTGCACTAGCGGAAGTGCGTCTACGGGGCTCTTCCTGTTCGGGGACAATGATGCGACGCGCTACGAGAGATTGAAGCAAAGATAGTTGACAAAAGACGACTTATAAGCGCAACGCGACCAGCACGATGGCAGGACATCGAGCGACCACATGATCGTTCAAATTCGAGATAGAACGCGTGTCGTACCTCCATTCCCGTCGTTGCACGTCTCCTCGAACATCCAGTACTTGGCCTTCACGTCAGCAGGTGCATCTGCCGGCAGCTTCGAGTTGTAACCAGCGCAGAATCTGTAACAATCGGTGTGCGGATCGCTAAGCATTTCGTCGAAAATGTTGTACTGGTTGTAGTTGTACATCTGCCCGGGATAGAAATACGCCTCCACGAGAGGGTCACTCGGCTCAAGAAATACATCGGAGGGCGTGTTAGGATCGAGGAATTTCCCTAGCGTGAATAGTCCCTCGCCGCATTGGAACTTCGGGCAGACTAGCGCGTGTGTGATGGAGGAGGAGAGCAGTAATAAAATCGCCAGGCGACGCGCCTGTTGTAGCACCGAGTGGTACATCGTTAAGTCGATATTAATGCAGGCAGCGATGCAGGTAAAGAGGACCAAAACTGGAGAAGCACCAGTTTCCGTGAGAGATGGGAATAACAGCTTCTATGACCAACAGAGGTTTTTGAGATAATCTAAGAGAAATTTCTACCCTCCTCTGGAAGTCCAGCTTCGATGGCTCCTGAGAGATGTCGAGTTTCTGACTTCAAGTCGAATGCACTGTAATTGTGTGGTTGTGGGAGGAAGGCAGAAATGAAATTGAGCTAACTAGCAGTAGCCGAGTCGCTAGTGTGTTCATCGCGGGTCGCCTTCATGTGGAACTCTATGGCGAAGCGTGGGGAGGGCAGGACAGGCCCTGTGGATGCTCACGACGACACACCTGTAACAAGGCATAGCAATACTGTTGTCACGACGAGAGTTACCGATCGACGGTTTAGAATGGATCGCGAACCAATTACCAACAAGATCCACAGCCCCAGATATGGTGCAGTGTCGCCCTCAGGCGAGTTGCGGTGTGTGTCAGCAAGAGTCTCTGTGTGGGGTGGAGGCGCGACACTGGCTATGCGTTCGCGCTACAAGCAGACATCTGAAAACTACTTGCTGTAAAGAATTATTCTGTACAAGGGAATATACGATAAAGAGGTTCAAATAATATTTCGCTTCTCAGATTCCTTATGAACCTCCTCAATTGTGATGTGGATTCACACTTAATTATGACGCCCTGTCGGTTGCATTTAAAGAAATATCATCAAAGTGGAGAGACAGCAACATTCGTTGCTAAGAAAAGGGCCCTGGCCTCAATCATCACAGCATATCTAGTTTGTCCGCCATTGTAAGAATGTCGTTGTAGTGGCAGCTAAAAATGAGTTTGGGACGTGCATAATATTCTTACTAACAAATCAGTACAGTAACTGATGAGTTTCCAAACGGTCTCTAGTTTTGAGACGGGATGAGTGTAGTCACTTGGAAAACCAATGATGGAACTAGAGCACTTTGAAAATACGACAGTAATTAGGCAACATATGCACATGCATCCCATGTTTGGCGATTTACCCACTCCCCGAAATCCCCCCTTCTCCACATCCCTCATACCCGCGCACTAGTTTCCCAAAACAATTTCGAAAATTTCGGTGGGATCGCTAACGTGTTATCGCGGCAACGAAGTATGCATGACCCTCGTCAGCGAGCCTCGCTTCACTCGCACGAGAATCTCGCCAGAAGGGCCTTCCAGAGATCATTTCGAACCGTGCCTTTCAAGATTCGAAGGAAATGCAGCACGGAGTGCGACGCGACAAGCAGAATGAATCTGCGTGCAATCGTCACAGATTCAGACTTTCATCTGTAGATCAATCTTCCACACCCTTCAGAAAACAGAAATGCATTACAGGCAAAACAAGGTTGCGCTACCAGAATTGCCACCTTAGCCCCCAAAATCATAGAGAAAAGTTGCCTGATCGACCATGCCATTTACAACAGCCCCTACACTCTTGCGATGTCGTTTAGATTACAAAGAGAAGAAGGCAAATGGGGACGGAGTGGCTTTAGAAGCTCTGTGCGAGGTATTTGCGAGGAGCGGCGGGCAGGCCTCCGCCAACGGCGCTGCCCATCATGTTCATGGCGATGGACATCTCGTCGTCCACGGCGTGGGCGCGCGTGAAGCGGCACATCTTGCAGTCCGCCTTGAGCAGGTCCGTCACCTCGTAGTCGTCCATGTTTCCATCGATGAAGCCCTCCGCGTTGTCGCCCGGCACCACCATCACCTGCAGGAGATCGCTCCACTGCAGCTTCTGCTGAGACCTGCAAAACACAACCCGAGAAAAACACCGAGGAGAGTGGAATCCGAACATGAGCCCACGAACCCGCAAAAAATTCCAAAGAGTGGAATCTGAAACAATCAAGGAACAAAGCCAAGGGACAAATGAAGGTGCGTAGGCAGAGAGGCGCGAGGGATGGATCGACTTACAGGCGGCCCTGGAAGTCGGGGCGGAACGTCTGGCCGAGCACGCCGTGCACGGCCTTGGAGAAGGAGGAGGAGAGCACGTCGAGGCCGAAGTGCACGGCGGCGTCCGTGGCGGTGCGGAGGTTCTTGACCTCCGGCCTGAGCGTGAGGCGGATGGTGGCGACGCCGTCGATCTTCACGTCGTACACGTCCACAAGGTCCGTTCCGCTCAGCATGCGCGCAGCCTCCCACTTGAGCGTCGCGCCGTCCCACAGCTGCACCGTCGTGCCGGGCACAGTCAGCTCCACCGCCACGCCGTCAGCCACCACGCGCGCCAGGTACCCGTTGCCGTACTCCGCCTCCGCGCCGCGCCGCGCCTCCAGAACCACCGTGTGATGTCCCGCCATGAGCCCCACGGACCGGATCCACGTCAGCGCCTTCACGTCGCCGTTCCACCGGCTGTAGCGCCCGCCGAAGAAGCCGTTCATCTGGAAGTGCGGGTCCGACACCAGCGCGTAGTTGCGGTTCGGCTTCCCGCTAAAGTCGAAGTGCGACCCGTCGGCGCCCGTGAAGTGCGGGTCGCCCTTGTCCTTGCCCTCGCACAGCTCGCCCACCGTGAAATTCGCCGGCACCTCGTAGTCAGACGTGCCCACACCGGAAGCAGGCTCCATCCACTTGCTGCTGTAGCTCTTGTCGTCTTTGCACTGCAGCTTGTTGTAGCACGTGCAGATGCCGCCCGTCCCCTCCAGACACGTCTCCTCGAACATCCAGTACTTGGCCTTCTTCGCCGGGTCCGCATTGCTTGGCAGCAGCATGTTTTTGGCAACGCAGAACTTGTAGCAGTCCAGCTGCGGGGTTTCGATCTTCAAGTCGCTAATGTTGAACCTCGTCACGTAGTCGTACATCTGACCCGGAGTGAAGAACCCTTCCCACAGAGGATCCGACGGCTCCTTGAGCGGGTCTTTGGGGTCGGTGAACTTGCCATAAAGGAAATTACCCGGCCCGCAAACCAACTTCGGGCACACCTCGGCGAGGGCCGCGGAAGAACAAAGAGCTAGAAAGATGATAACTGAAGTGAAGCGAGCCATGATGAACGATTGGACGTTCTTCGACTGCTGCATTTGGAATTGTGTTTTTGCTCACTTCGATGGTTGTAGAAATAGTAATCGAACTCTCAGACACGAAGAGGACTTTTTTAGGTCTGAGGTTCGCCTTCGGCTTGGGGAGATCGTGTGGCCGAACGCATGGTCTCTGAATGAGCCGGCTGCCGATCTGACGTAATGGCCTGCGATTCGAATTCAGTTTGGAACTTGGAATGGGATTCGTCTTTTGCCACCTTTCGGAGCAGATTCCAGGTCGGCCATCGTCCACACGAATGGGCAGTTCTACTGTTTTCAACAGCCTTGCCTAAGAGTTGATTTTATGACCGTGGGCCACGGCAGAGTCCACAGTCCGTTGTGCGTACGGAACGGACTGCCGCACAGCTCTTATCGCTGTGCAGTGTGCACGAAGCGATTGTCCATTTGCAGATTGTCCATTTGCAAGTTGGATTTGGGAACTTGTGCTCAGCTCATTCTGACGTCCATTTCTTCCACTCAGGGTCCATTTGCTGACCTCCTACAGTACGAATATGGGTGTCATGTTTTAACAAGCCCTTCCCAATAGGAGGACTTGTCCAAATTCTACCAAGCCACTGCCCTGAAAATTGGCCACGGTCCACAACTTCGGTTGATGCTGAATTTGGCTCATAACCAAGGTAGGTTCATCAGCATGAAGGCGGTGTACAGTGTACCTGCCCCCCTATACAGTCTACAGTTCCCCGGTTCTGTTCGAATGGACTGAAATTGCGGCGATTCCAGGCGTAGCCGTCTTGTTTTGAATGCGCCGGTCGGAGTATTGGAGTCAACAGACCACCTCTATGTCCAGAATCATGAGTCAAAACCAGGGTCAGGGGGGAGGGAGGGTGGGGGGAGGGGGGTTTGGGTGTAGCACTAGAAGCAGTCAACAGTTTCGTCTAAAACAACATAAGGACAAATCATCGTGTATTCCATCGATACATGAAAACCAATACGATAACCTTGTGCATAACACTTTGCACAATAAGCTACCGTAGTAGTCACAAACTAACCCCTATATTTTGAACTCCAGAGCTCGCTGCCATCAGAGACGATAGGAAGAAAATCAAGCTGTTGAATTAACACTTACAACAATAAAAGAATGGTCACATTACATCTACATGATTCAGCATAAGCTCAACAGCCAAAACTACATTCGTATACAAGCACGCAGCCAGTTATCTAGAAGCTCTGTGCGAGGTATTTGCGAGGAGCAGCGGGCAGGCCTCCGCCGACAGCGCTGCCCATCATGTTCA